AGATCAAGGTGGATTTACTGCATAGGATAACGTGGCTGGCTATTCCATAACTATCTGCCGCAGCTTCTGGATTTTATTTTTATATTAAAAAAAATTAGGACAAAAGAATGGCAAAAATATTAATGCATTATTATGTACAATATATCCTTGTTGAGTTTGACGCTTGGCATCAATTGTCCATTGTGCTGTGCTCCGGCTCATCCCGCTGGGCGAAACAGGTTTGTTTGTCATAAGGAGGCCTGCTGAATGTAGCTCGTGACCTAAATTGCAAAAGAAAGTATGTTTGTCCTCTGCGTGCTACCGCCACATTGGAGAGCGCAAGGCACTGTCTCCAATTAGGACTATTAGCAGCAATTGCCAAGGGAGCCTTGTTTTTGCGGGACAGTGTGAGGCTACAATTAACATCAGCCGCCTCACTCGGGATCACTTAGTCAACTGCCCCAAACCTGCTTCTCATGATTGGTAAAACTGTCAACTCTTGGAATGAGCCGTGGTGTCAAAGTGTAAACATCCTGGGATTTCCCCCCCTCCTTGCTCTTGGGAATGAATTTCCTTTTCCTGCCAGAATGGGGATGAGGGAGGCAGAGGGGAAGGGAGGGAACCCAAAGATAGTTAGAGATGATTTATGTCTCCATCTGGTAGATGTTCCTAGACATCCAACTTGGTTTCTGATGGGAAGGTCACCAAACCGCTGTGAGGGTAGGTGTTTTCCATCACCGGCAACGATATTTCGATGGACGGGGATGCAGGGAACAGTTATCCTTGAATAAGGAACTTCAGATCTTCCCGTCGTGTTTTTTCTTTTTTCTTTTAAATGTCAGAGAAGGCTGTTTTGTGCAGTTGGGCAGCAGTCAAATTAGCTGTCCAGAGAAGCTGTAGGATCTTCTCAGGAGTTTTGAAGGAAAGCTACAGTGGACATTTTGCCACAAACCTGAACCTAAGGATACCCATTACTGGCACAATGGTCAGTATTTTTATTTATAAAAGCATGTAATGTGTGCTCAAAATGTACCCAAAACCCAAATCAAACCCACAAATTGAGACAGACACACAAAAAAGAAAAAAGAAAAAAGAAAAAAGAACTATGAACAGTTCAAAAGGAGAGGAGAATTGGACAGATAGAAAGAGATCTTGCACAAGCAATGGGGGCAGGAAGGAAGGGCAGTTAGATTAAATTAACTATTTACTGAGAATTCATTTGTGTGCAAAAAAAAAAAAGTCTGATTTTGGGAGGAAGGCCTGGTCCACTTTAAAAAAAAAATAGTTGAAGGGGATGGTCTTACTTATTTTATTTATAAAAGTATTTATATACTACCATCTTGAAAAACATTGGGGCAGTGCACAAGAACATAGAAACATTTATAAGCAATATGAAGCCATCATTAAAATGACCAGCTGCCTAAGGGACATTTTACATAACTGCATAGGCCTAACCAGCGTTTGGGAGATACCTAAAAGTCAAAATCATTTCGATGAATGTTTTGTTGTTTGCTTTATTTATACGTTATTGATAGTATAGTGCTTGTATGGTTTGTTGTTGTTTTTTAATGCTTTTGTGATTATTGTCAGCCACTTTGAGCCCAACCTTTGCGGAAATATTAAGTCAACTCAAATCAAAGCAAGGATGCCTGCCATATCTCTGTTGTATCTTACATACTAACATAAGGGAAACATGGGTCAGACTGAGTCCAAACCAAAGGCCAGGCAGAACAGCTCTGTCTTGCAGGCCCTGCGGAAAGATGTCAAGTCCCGCAGGGCCCTAGTCTCTTGTGACAGAGCGTTCCACCAAGTCGGGGCCAGTACTGAAAAGGCCCTGGCCCTAGTTGAGATCAATCTAACCACCTTGCAGCTCGGGACCTCCAAAGTGTTGTTCTTTGTGGACCTTAAGGTCCCCCGTGGGGCATACCAGGAGAGGCGGTCCCATAGGTACATGGGTCCTTGGCCGCACACACACACAGAGCCCATCTTCCAAACTACATGTGATTGTGGCACACAGGAACACCTTAATTTCTGGTCAGCTTCTGCTTCTATACCTCGACAACTTAAATATTGTTCGTAACAACTGTTGATGCATAGGGAAAAGGCTGTAACTCAGCGACAGGACATTTGTTTTGTGCGCAGCAGATCCCAGCTTCAATCCCCGGCCTCTCCAAACTCAGGGTAGGACTGAGATTGCCCCTTTCCTGAAACCTTGGAGAGCTGCTGCCATTCAGTGTTGGAAGCATTCAGCTAGAGATGGATGGATGGTCTGACTTTGGAAGAAAGCAGCTTCCTCTGTTCCTGTTGCCCTTGTTTCCTCCAATATAACATCCGACACAATACCAAAGGCTCTGAATCCTCGTTCTAGTTCAGTCAGTACTCAGTCTGCATTACACTGGATCTTTCGGACATCTTCCTGCTACAGAACCCTAACACCCACTCCTCTGGAATTTTCCAGGGACGTTTGTTGCTCTCTTCAACGTGCCGCAGGGGTGTTCTGCTGGACAGAAACAAGATGGGCTGGCGGCCCTTTGGGTATTAACTCCCTGCCCACCCCGAGCAATTTTCGTTGTGTGTGTTTTGTATGTGGGTCCCTTAATTACTCCTAATCTGACTTGTCTTTCTAATTGAGGCGCCTAGCAGCTGTTTAGCAACCAAGGCTCTTAGCTCCTAATTTACATTGCATTTGGCACCTGACCTCAGATGGCATACGTAAAGCTCTTAGACGGATCATCCAAGCTTCTTCTTGAGAATTATGGCGCCACAAAAGGGTCAGTGGTGTGAGACAGGACAACTCAAGGTGCGAAGTGCAGCAGCGGCTAACACCCTTTACCTCGCTGAAACCGGCAATCCTTTAAAAGGCTGATCCGGGGTTTTAAATCAGGATTCCTCCTCTTCCTCTTGCTCTACTTCTTGTCAGAGGGAAAGAGTGCAGGTTTTATTTTATTTTTGTTTGTTTGTTTGCCTCGTAACCCTTAGGCTTTAAAACATTTTTAAGAAGGCTAACGCCCTTTACTACTAAGGTGAAACTGACAAGCCATTAAAAGGCTGATCCGTAGTTTTAAAACAGAATTCCTGCCCTTCCTCATACTGTACTTCTTGTTGTGGGAAAGGAGGCAGATTTTTTAATATTCCCTGGTAACTTGTAGGCCTCGTGGGGGGGAACCCCACCTAGCACCCTTTACCTAGATGAAGCTAGCAATCCTTTAAAAGGGTTTTAAATCAGGATTCGTTCAATTTCTCCTGCTTTATTTCTCTTCCTTGGGAAGAAGGGTTTTATTTATTTTTTTATTTTGTTGCCCTGTAACTCACAGGTATAAAAAAATAAATAAAAAGGCTATAACACTTTCCATCCAGCTGAAACCAGCTGTCCTTTAAAAGGCTGGTACGGGGTTTTTAAACTGGGAATTCTCCATTTCCTCCTCTTCTACTTCTCATCCTGGGAAAGAAGGCAGGTTTAATTTTAATTTATTTATTATATTAATTTATTTGCCCAGTAACCTGTAGGCCTAAAAAAGAAACAGCCTGCCTGTGCTGCTTAATTCCAGGGCCTTGGCAGACGCATTTCACACTTGATAACACCCTGTGGGGCCGTGTCTAATTGAACAAATTTGAGCAGCAGGCTGAAAAGTCACTGCTTTTTTTTAAAAAAAAGTAGTTGATAAATGATTGCGCTCTTAAAGACACAGCTCTCCTGCTCCATTTCGGAGGGATTGCTGGCAGCAGGCTTGCTCTCCTTGGCCACCAAACTCCCTTTGCTTTATTTGCCCTCTGCCTTTGCTTCAGCCCTTCCCTCCCGCTCACTCAGCTCGGGCCGGGCAAGTCTGTCCATTTTGCCTTCTCACAGCTTCTCATTTTCTCCAGTCTTACGTTCTCCACATTCTCCACAGCAGTTTGTGAATTATTGTCTTATGTCTTAGTGAAAATCCATCAGTATTTTAGTGTGAATGTATCCTAGTATACACTTCTTGGCATGCAGTTTCCCCTAATATTACACATTTTTGCAGCGCTTCTCCAGTCTCTCCAGCTGGAGAACTGCGCTGCAAAATTCGGAGAAGTGAACACTTTGAAGGATGACTGCGTTTCGATTTCCGTATTGTTTCCCCCGAGAAAAGTGTGAATTCGGAAGGTCCACCTTTAAATGTGAACTGAATCTGATTCCCCACCCCCCAAAAAATCTCTACCCTCCGCTGTACAGGAGCCAGCTCTGACATGTGGTTTCTGGACAACGGTGCTAAGCCTTCTCTGTCTATCCTATCTCTTCTAGAGCATGCCAGGACCCAGCAAGAAGATCCCAAGATGAAACCAAGGCAATAGGAATCCGCAGGCAGGCAGGGGAAACAGATTTATTGGGAAATCAATGACATGGGGGGGGGAACCATCCCAACAAGAAACAAGATGGCCCATTATGTGTAGAATCTGTCTTGCTCAAGAGAGCATGCCGGTGTTACAGTACCGGCTGTGGCCAAATCTAGAGGATTGGCAGGTTTCCAAAGCTCAAGACTGGCCAAGGGCTCACTGCCCCAACACAGCCACTGGCTGTTATTGGGTTTGGTTTGGTTTTGCTTGGCCTGGCACACTCAAGTAGGCTAGATTCAGTGTGAGAGAGTTTGTGCGGCCTAGCTCTGTTTGGCACAGTTTCCAGGATCTTGAACTGTTCAGAACTTAGGGCATCTGCTCCTTGATTCCTTCAGGAGCACAGGCTTCTCATTGGGCCAGAGAAGGTGTAAAGAGTCAGGGTGGTACAGTGGGTATAGAGTGTTGGACTAAGACCTGACAGGCCAGGATTCAAATCCCCACTCATCCACGAAGCTCTCCCTGAGTGACCTAGACCCAGTCACCGTCACTCAGCCTTACCTAACTCACAGAGTTATTATGAGGATAAAATGGGGAGAAGGAGAACAATCTACAACACTGTGACTTTTCTTCAAGATGGTATATAACTGATAACTGGACACAGGTGGCGCTGTGGTCTAAAGCACTGAGCCTCTTGGGCTTGCCGATCGGAAGGTTGGCAGTTCGAATCCCCACAACGGAGTGAGCTCCTGTTGCTCTGTCCCAGCTTCTGCCAACCTAGCAGTTCGAAAGCACACCAGTGCAAGTAGATAAATAGGTACTGTTGTGGCAGGGAGGTAAACGGTGTTTCCGTGCGCTCTGGTTTCTGTCACAGTGTTCCGTTGCACCAGAAGTGGTTTAGTCATGCTGGCCACATGACCTGGAAAGCTGTCTGCGGACAAACACTGGCTCCCTCGACCTGAAAGCGAGATGAGCGCCGCAACCCCATAGTCGCCTTTGACTGGACTTGACCGTCCAGGGGTCCTTTACCTTTACCTATAACTGTAATACCTAAATGAGTACATAAGAAGATCCCTGCTAGTCCAGCATCCTGTTCTCACAGTGGCCAGCCAGATGCCCCCAAGAAAGTCTGCAAGCAGGAACTAAATGCAATAGAGTTCTCCCTTCCAGCAGTAGCCTGCAGCTGGTATTCAGAGTCATACCACCTCTGATGATAGAAGGAGAACAAAGGTGTTATGGCTAGTAGCCATTGATAAAAGTTAACAAACCAGTCTTCCCGCTTCCTTTCTTTTTATGTATTCTTAAGAAATGGCCTTCAAGCTTAATCTCTGCCTTCTTTCCCCGCTTTCCCTTACTTTGAGATTGGCAAAGGGGGGCCTACTGGTGCAGCTTAATGAGTGTTGCTTCTGTGGTGAGGGCCTCTTCTGTGGTGGCACCCCCATGATGGACTTCATCCCCCTTGGAAGCGTGAATAGCCAGGACGTTAATGGGTTTTTGCTGGTTTCTGAAGAGACTCATCTGTCCTCAAAAGCCTTTGGTGGTTGATTCAGTGCTGTTGTTTCTCCCACTGGGCCTTGTTGTAAAAGGAAATGAAATTGCTATAGGTTCCGATTTATGGTCCGATAGTGTTTTGATGATATTGTGTTGATTTAATTGTTATCGATGTGCACTTTTATGCTTAGAGGTCACTAGGACATAAAAGTGGGTTATAATAATTCTAAATGCACATTTTGGAAAGTTGTGTGTTTGTTGTGCATCTCTTAAGAGATCCTAACCCAGCTTTGCATGTTCCTGAAACCAAGGAGCAGGCTTCCACCTGTGCATAGATGCACTTGGGTGCTGTATCAAAGCTTCACTGATCTTAACCACTGATTTCAAAACTGCACTGATTTTTTTTCCACATTCTTTGTGTTCCAGAGCAATTTGGGGCACAAGGCTACTAGTAAATAAATGGCACCAGACGCCATTGATTGGACAGGGTTGCAAAGCATCCAGCTCTACTTCCCAGGCTTTACCTGTTCTAGAGAAGGGGAAGCAGGGAGGGAGAGAAGGCTAATGTTTCATCCACGCTGGAGGAGGTTGTTACTCCTCCGACACCTTTAAAAGGGTACAAGTCCCTGATGTGAGCTTTGTTAAATGATGACTTGTAATCTCTTTATTCAGTTAACTCATTTGCCTAGCACTAACAGCTGAAGAGCCGCTTTGCAAGGACTTTGAAAACGCATAGGAAACACTTGCTGTTAATTACTGGAACATGGAAGGATCTCAGAGGATGCAAACAAGAAGGATAATTATCAGGGAGCGTTTAATTTTTAAAAGAAGGTGGGAGAGAACTGGGGACACGTATGCTGAGGATGATAATGGAGAGGCATGTGGAAACGCAATCACACAGACATTTCCCTTTATGCACCTTGAATCATATTGGGAGGGCTTTTCCAGTCTAAAGGACTGTGTAAAAAAGATGGAGATAGGGAGGGAAATCCCAGGCCCCAGGGGGCTAATGTGGCCCTCCAGGCCTCCCTGACAGGCCCTCAGAACTATCCCCAGGTCACACCCTCCTTGATTGCTTTTGTCTGGCTGGAATACGTCCTTGAATTTTGATAATACTTCTTGCTTGCCTGCATGGAAGATGGAGATAGAGAGCTCTGTGTGTGTAGAAACCTCTGGCTCTTGTGTGGCTGAAATGTAGACTTCTATAAAGAGGTGAGACCCACATTCCTAACTCCTCCCACTTTCGCTTCTCGCTCCACCCAGTTTTCCCCTCTGGACACCACCTGCATGTGGACCTCAGAAGGTTTACTGAGGAAAGGCGGCCTCCAAGCTTTTTCAGCTTGAGATGAGAAATCACCTGGCATAGTGTGTTGGACTTCAAGCTGGGTGACCGAGTCAGATTGTTGGTCCATCCAGCTTTGTCTACACTGACTGGCAGTGACTTTTCGGATTCCAGGGAGGAGATGTTCTCAGCCCTATCTGGAGATGCCAGCGATTGAACCTGAGACCTTCTGCGTGCAATGCAAATGCTCTTCCACTGACCTATGTCCCTTTCCCCAGGCAAAGACATGGTTCATGCTGACTGTTGCATTGTATGTCCCCGCCTCCAAGTGTCTTGTCTCTACCCTGAAAGAGTTGTTTGGCACAAACTCTTTTATCTGGCCCCAAACCCTTTGTTCTCTTGCGCTGCTTAAGACCGGTGTGTTAGTCCTTTAATCCTCATTCCGCCAGAACTTTGGATGGGATGGAGGATGTTTTTGTTTTATTTTTGGAACAACTGAGCAACGCAGCCAAGGAGCACATGAGGAATGCAGTTGCTAGGACAGAAGCCAATTGCAGAAGCAACTGTCTATAAAAATTGTCCACTCTTTGGACAGCAAATCCCTGCGCTGAATATTCTACACTCTTAATACAAGCAGCACACGACATCCCTTTGGGTATCTCGTGGTTGCTGCCTGAACAGGCTCACATCAAGCCAACTGGGCTGCGAGGCAAAGGGAAGCCGCTCTGTCTTGGCCACACCAGGGAGCAGAGCAGAGCTTGGATATGAAAGCTGACAATGTTGGGGGGGGGCAAATATTAATGTATTTATTAAGCAATCTGAACCGTCTCTTCATCTGTTTTTGCCAAGATGAAGGAAGCTACTTGATGTAGCACATATGGCTGAAGGGAGCACAAAGTAGAGCATGCATGAGAGATGGAGAGAGAAGGAGGGAACGCGTTCACCCCTTGAGGTCATTGGTTTGCATCCAGCCCAAAACCAACGCCAAAGGATGTTACCATCTGACAGCTCTTTGGTGGCCTGTTGGAAGGGATTTGGTGGTTTCTGACGAATCCTGTGTGGGCAGGTGTCCACGTTACACTTGGCAGCAAGCGGTGTTCTCGCTTGGCAGCCTGGGCGAAAGGCATCGCAGAGGGGAGCAGCTGGGGAGGTCGGCTGCATGATTGGACGGCCTCCCGTCATCTGCACGGCGGGGCAGAGATCACCCAAGAGTGAGAAGAGCCGGGAGGACTCGCAAGAGCGTAAGAAGCCCTGACACATCATGCCAAGGGTCTATCTAGTCCGGCATCCTCTTTCTCACAGTGGCCAACTGGGTGCCCACAGGAAGCCCTGGGGCATGGACAGGAAAGCAGAAGCCCTTAAGAGTACTCCCCACTAACGTCACTTTCGCTAATCACAAAGCTTGATCCTTTTGCTGATTACAAAGGTGCCTGGGATGAATGAATTACAAGAAGCAATCATTCGCTTTTTTTTTTAGGCTTATTCTTTGTAATGTGAGAATAGTCACATCAGAATGTCTTGCATTGCCAGTAGTAGGAGCCACCTGTGTGTCTGGCTTTTTCCGAGCTGAGGACACCTGCCTACTCTTCATTTCCAGGGCTCATCTAGGCAGCAACATCTGCCTAGATCTCCTTAAAGCCATCCAAGTTAGTGACTTGTCTACAGCCTGATGCCTGCAACCTCTGGTTGACTTTGATTAGTGGTGGCTCTCCAGGGTTTCAGACAGAGAAGGGTCTTTACTGTCACCTACTACTTGATTATTATTTTTTAAACAGAGTTGCACCTTGGACCTTCCACATGCAAAGCACCTTCTAACGCTGCCATCGTTCATTCCTGTTATTTATTGGATGCTTTTAAGGGCTAAACTGTAGCAGAGAAAAATAAAAACAGTAGAACCTTAAGCAACAAATGAAGCACTGAGTAGATACAGAAAAACAGATGCGTTTTGAGAACCTGAACTAGATTGCCTCGACTCTCTTAAGGAAGGGACCCCTGCTACAGTGTGGACCATGAGCGTGGGGGGCAGGCTTTATGTTAGAACTGAGTTATCTGTGATGCACTCTCCCTCCTGCAGTTTCCAGCAACTGGCATTCAGACACATACAGTCATACCTTGGATCCCAAATGCCTTGGTACTCGGACGTTTTGGCTCCCAAACGCCACAAACCCAGAAGTGAGCGTTCTGCTTTGTGAACGTTCTTTGGAACCCAGACGTCCAACAGGGCTTCTGCGGCTTCCGATTGGCTGCAGGAACTTCCTGCAACCAATCAGAAGCCATGCTTGGGTTTCAAAACTCTTTGGAAGTCGAAGTAACTTCCAGAACAGATTCCGTTCGACTTCCAAGGTACGACTGTACTGCCTCCAACATTAGAGGGAGAACATAGACATCCTGGCTAGTAGCCACGGATAGCCTTCGTTTCCATGAATTTGTCTAATCTCTTTTCAAGCCATTCAAGCTCATCTCCTGATCACCATCTTCTTCCACTAGCATGAGATACATTGCTCTTATATTTAACATATGGACAATGCAATCTATACTCAGAGCAGACCCTTGGAAATTAATGGGCATGGCTAGCTAAGGCCCAGTTGGTTTACTCTGTGTCCCATTAAGTTGGATACAACCCAATATTTCTAAATGTTGTTGTTGTTTAGTCATTTAGTCGTGTCCGACTCTCCGTGACCCCATGGACCAGAGCACGCCAGGCACTCCTGTCTTCCACTGCCTCCTGCAGTTTGATCAAATTCATGTTGGTAGCTTCGAGAACATTGTCCAACCATCTCGTCCTCTGATTTTTCTTTACAGCATTGGCCTTTCCTTTCGCTTCCAGGCATATCTGCAACAAATAAGTAAGCACATGCAAATTTCGTGCAAATCCACATTTTCTTTTGCCCTCTCACTCTTTTTAGCAATATTCTTCCTCTTTGGAGGCGATTTGTTAATTGGACACCTTGCCAACTAATAAGGGGGCTCGGAGTGGCTCGGAGGGTTGTGGCCACCATCCTGCAGCAAGCAGATTGGTTGCCTGTCTTTGTTTAGAAGGCATTTCTTAGGTAATTATCTTCAGCCAATTCTACTCTTTCAACTTCAAGAAGGGTGGCGTATCCAGGCACAAAGCTGGAAATGAAACACATCTGGAGGTCCAAAAGGGGACAGCGGCTGATTCTTATTTTGCTGTTTTCTGTGTATGCGATTTTTTAAACAACAACAATGAAGAACAAAGTTCTGTATCTTGCTAATTGAATGCACAGACTCTTTTTTTCTCCTCCTTTTTTATTTTTTATTTTTTGAAAACGACACCCGGATTCTGTTTCTGTGCCATTAATGGGACTCTGTTGTTTGATCTCATCAAGGCCATTTTGACCATGTGTTTGTGGTAATTCACTAAAACGTGTGAGGCTTGAGTTGGTGGCATGTCCTGACCCTCCAGTCTGAAGGACAACAACTCTCCAAGGGGTCTTGCACTTCCCTTTTAATGTCTTATTTGGCCAACAGCAGTTCCTTGATCACGCCAAGCCGTGGAGTTACTTATGTTCATATCACAATGCCAAATGACCCTACCGAGCCAAAGTTGAAAGCAGAGGAACTATGGCTTGTCTTCAATGAACATATGAACATGAGAACATCCAAAGAGAATAGCTATCGTGGCTGGTAGCCTTCAGGAGCCCTTTCCTCTGCGAATGCTAGCCAGTGAGTCTACTCTAACTAGAACTTCGTTGGATGCATTTTTGGTTTTTGGTTTTTAAAACTGAATGGAAATGGGAGGCCTGCTCCAAAAAAATGATACTAATTCTTCATTCCATTATCATCTTTCTTTTTTTAGAACTAATGGCTGGGGAGAGAAGTGGTACTCAGGACTGGGGCTGTTGTGTGTGGAGATTTGATTCTCTACCAGAAAAGACTCAGAGGCCATTCGTAGAGCACAGGGGTGTGGGTTGCAGATAGAGATGGGGACAAATCTGATTTGGTTCACATTTAAAGATGAACCTACCTAATTGCACTTTTCAGAACAAGAGACAAAATAAGCTGTCCTTCAGAATTTGGACTTCTTCGAACTGTGCAATGCAGTTCTCCAACAATTTTACAGAAATGTATAGATCAGGGGGAAAGTGTGCCTGAAAAATGAATATTTTAGCTGAAGTAGCATACGTAAATGCGTTTTGTGTAGGGGCAATTGCTTACAGGAGTGTGTACGTTACTCAAAGCTGCATACAGGAATGTATTTATCAGCAGAAATTGGCCTTAAAATGCTATTGAACTTTCACAACGGCTTTTCAAAAAGAAAAAATAAATTGCTGCAGAAATGCAGAAAACTGAAGTTAAGATTGGAAAATCGGAAAACTGGAAAAAGCAAAAGTGACAAGAGCAACTCCATCGCCCTTTGCAAACAGGTCTCAGGTTCAGCCCTCAGAATTTCCAGGTAGAGGTGAAGGAAGCTTTGAAACCCTGGAGGATTCCTGCCAATCATGACAGACAGCACTGATCTGGTCGAACCCATGTTTTAACTCGGTATATAAGGCTGATTCTTATATTGCTTCCCCCCATTGGATTCTGTTCCTTCCCAGTAAGCATGCGTAGAATTGCAACCAGTTTTTCTTCCCAAAAAGAAATTAGCATTCGTACACAAATGAAGCTTTCCCAGAATCCGCAGTTCACATACATAGATTATTCTGGGCATCTTTGCAGCTGAAAGTCTTCTCCGGCATGGGTCCCAATCGGTTTTAGTGATGAATACCATATTCCGTTGAAACTAATCACATATTTTAAACAGGCAAGATATCTCTTCCCAGATGGAGGTTGACCCTCAATTAGTTGAATTCTTCAGCCACAGACTTATTTTTAAAATTCTTTGCACAGAAAGGTTCTCCACCCCCCCTCACACACACACACACAAAATAGGTGTTTTTTCCTTTCTCTCTTCCCAATGCCCATAGGGAACAACGCTGTAAAATACAGCCCCAAATTGTTCCCAGGCCTCATGATGGTCTGATTATCTGAGTCGGAGGACGAATAACCAAGTTGCAGGGAGGAGGGGGAGAGATTCGTAAATGTGGAACAATGTGACAATGATCAAATTACTGGGGTCCGTAACGGTGTCAAGTCCCCCGTTAGGGCATTTTTTGTGTGTGTGGTTGAGCATTGTTGGATGATGTCCAGCAGCGCAGAAGTTGGAAGGCGGGGAAAATGGCCAGCCTCTCGCTCAGCAGCAGCATTGGACAAGTCTTCTAACTTTGGGGGTCCCCACATGAGGTGGGAAATGAAGCCCGGTATTATTTTGACAGAGAGAGAGTTTAAAGCAGTGTCTGTCCCCGTGGGTTGAATCCAACTCAGTTCTACATACAGCAGACCCACTGAAACTAATGAACCTAAATTAAGCATGTCCATTACCATCGGTGGGCCTACTCTGAGTAGGTCTGGCATTGGCTACAACAACTCTAGAGGCCTCTCTATCAGACTCATCGAATCATATCATTGGAAGGGACCCAAAGTGTCATCTAGTCCACCCCTGTGCTCCTCAGGACTCTAATCAAAACCTCAGTCTCCTCATGGATTTCAACAGGGGGTTCCACTTGCAGGTCTCCAGTGTGGAGAACGTAGCAAGAGTGTGGCTGCTGGACCATCTAGTCCAGCATCCTATTCTCGCATGGCCAACCAGATGCCCCAAGGAGAACTTGAGGGCCACAGGCCTTTCCATACTTGTGGTTCCCAGAAACTGGTATTCAGAAGCACTCTGCCAGGCAGAGAGCCTTCTCAGTAGTGGCACCCACCCTGTAGAACGCCTTCCCATCGGATGTCCAGGAGATAAGTAACTATACAACCTTTAGAAGACCTCTGAAGGCAGCCCTGTATAAGTTTTAAATGTTTGATGTTTTATTATGTTTTTGTATATGCTGGAAGGCAACCCGGTCAGATGGGGTAATAATAATAATAATAATAATAATAATAATAATAATAATAACAATGGCAGAACGCAGCCATGATGCCTAGTAATGTTAACAGAGTCTACGTAATACCAGAAGAGCCCTGCCACAGATCAGGCCAAAGGCCCATCAATCCCAGTGTTCCATTGTTCCAGTTGTTAATTGCACAGGCCTACCTTGCTAGGCTGTTGTAAGTTTCAACAAAATAATGTGGTTTTGCAAAGTAGGGGTGGAGCTCCTTTTAGCCTGAGGGCCACATTCCACATTGTGGGTGACCTTCCAGGGGCTATGTGCCTGCGGTGGGCGGGGCCAGAAGCAAAAGTGGGTGGAGCAATAGAGGTGACTCTTTTCTTTAAGCAGAAGGGGTGCATTGCAGCCACGCAAAAAATAGGGGCTTCTGCACCCCACACAAGTCTCCATCCAGGCATTCAAAAGGCACAAGCACAGTCCAGGGACACATTCCATGCAAGCAAAAGCACTTGAGGAGGGCATGGAGCCCAGCCAGTGAGGGGCATGGTCTGGGAAGGGGGAGTGGCCTCAGGAGAATCCCAAGGGCCAGAACGAGAGGCCTGGAGGGCCACATTTTGGAGAGTCAGGCCTGAGATTCCCCTGTCTCTGTTCTTAAAAAAGTAAAAGCCTGCTAAATGCAATTAATAATGATTATGTGTTATAAACAATCGCAGTAATATTCTGCACGCTCCTTGATAAATGGAACATGTCAGCTGGGCTGCCTCGCGCACCCTCCACTTTCTCCCCTGAGCTTCAGATGAAGCCTGAGAGTAATTTAAACTCAATCTGGGGTTGCGTTCGAGGGCCTTTCCTCCAATCAATTGGGGAATGAGAACCTCTGAAGTCGGAATTTGTTTTAACCAAACGCATTTAAGATTATTATTCATAAACACACATGTTATGGCTTCGGCTCTTTCACTTCTTCCTTTTACAGCCCCTATAAATCGCATGCAGAACACAAAGGCCCTACGTTCTCAAATAAATGTTCTGCAGCCGTCGTAAATTATCTTTTTTCTTGCATTCGTAATGAAAGAGAGAGTGAGGCGGGGGGGCGGGAGTGACTGTTTGATGTTTTATATCCTCTTCCCTAAAATGTAAAAATATGGGAGATGGAGCCAGATTTTATCTCGTCGGAAAATAAAAGCGGAATTGTTTCCTACTCGGGGTTTTTTTCCCCTCCGCCCCTCCCTGCACCCGAGTTCTAGGTTTAACAGCTTCATGAAATGTTATGCGTAGGTTTGGAATACATTTTGCATTAATGTGTGCTTGTGTGCCCATCCGTGCTTGCCTGCCTCAGTGTCCACTCTCAGGGTTGCAAACCTAAAATGAATTACGAACATTAAGAAGGGGGGGGGGATGTAAACTAGAGAGAAAGAGAGTTTTATACAAATGTGTGTGTGTGTGTGTGTGTGTGTGTGTGTGTGTATAAACACATTACAGTGGTACCTCGGGTTACATATACTTCAGGTTACAGACTCCGCTAACCCAGAAACATTACCTCGGGTTAAGAACTTTGCTTCAGGTTGAGAACAGAACTCGTGCTCCGGCGGTGCGGCAGCAGCAGGGGGCCCCATTAGCTAAAGTGGTGCTTCAGGTTAAGAACAGTTTCAGGTTAAGAATGGACCTCCAGAACAAATTAAGTACTTAACCCGAGGTACCACTATACATGCATTATATATGACATGCTTTATCACCAAGCTCCAGTTATTCCTATTTTTTCAGGGTTGCTCCTCATTTTTTTGGCCTCTTGCCCCAGCCAAATCAATGACCCTCTTTTGCCTTAGAGGGAAAGTTTCAGGGATTTTTAAAATAAATAAATAAATAAATAAAATTGTGGTGGTGGTGATGACTTGAATAATGCTGTCATTCTTAACATGCCAGGACTCTGAGTAGGAGGGGAAATAAGTGTCTTGTACCTAGCACACAGACACCATTGGAACATAGGAATAATCCACCTTACACCAAACTGAGCTGTTGCCCAGCTAGCCCAATATTGCCTGCAGTGACTGGCAGCAGCTCTCCAGGGTCTCAAAGATTTGAGAGCCCCATCCCCTGCTTCAGTGTTCTTCAACCTGGGGTCACCAGATGTTGTTGGACTACAACCAGTGCTTTTTTCCTAAAAAAAATGTTCCTACTCATATTGAAACACTGCCCCTCAATGGGGCCAAACTTGGATTCACAAAATGTTTAGGGGTATGCGTACCCCTGCATCCCCCCCAGGAAAAAAAGCACTGACTACAACTCCCATCATCTCCACCCAGCTCAGCCAAGTAGAGCATGTGACTCTTAATCTCAGAGTTGTGGGTTTGAGCCCCACGTTGGGCAAAATATTCCTGCATTGCAGGGGGTCGGACTTGATAACCCTCGTGGTTCCTTCCAACTACACAAGTCTGTGATCCCATGGTAAGAACATCAGGTGACCCAAAGCTGAAGAACATCCCAGACTTTGTCCTATGTCCCACATCACGATTAAATTATCCAGGCACAATGGATTGATAGGAGACGATCCCAGAGTGGGACTCATACAGAGATAAACAGCCAGACTCCCCAAAGAGCAGATGACTCTGCAGAGTTTCTCTCCATTGGGGGAGCGACTAATGGCTTAAAGCAAACCTGTTGAAGAGATGCTGCAGAATCTTCAGGTGAGAATCGGAGGATAGTGTCTCATGCACTGTGGCCATCCTCATTCTCCAAGCATGAGCCCTTTGGAAATGGCTGTTTTCTCATGGTACGTGAGAACCAATCTGTGAACTGAAGGACAGCCGTTCTTCAAAATTTGCATTTCTCTGAATTTTGCAGTGAAGTTCTCCAAGCGATGTGCCTTAAAATGCATCTGCTAGGTTAAAATGTGCAGGTATAACTGGAATTAATGTGGGGAAATGCATCATAGCCAAAGGAGATTGCTTTGCAAAAATGCTTATATTCGAGGGAATTCGCACTATCGTGCTTATGAATTTTCATGAGGACTTTTTTAAAAAACCAAACTGACGGGGAAATGTGGAGAACGTAACTTGTGGAGAAACAGAAAGACTAAAATTGACAGATTCGCCCATCCCATCTGTGTGTGCTTTGTTTTCTTTTTAATCTCACCCTACTGAATGTTTAGCACGTTCAGACCATAGAGGCAGGCCTTGCCTCAGCCTGGCTCTCCTGGAAGAGCGCCTGCTTGCAAAACTCACGGCTTCTCTAGTTTGCAAAGCAAACTTTTGCCTTGTACTATTTACCTTGGCAAATGCCCCACCAGATTGATGATCTGTAAAGTGGATTTGTTATTTGCCTGTTTGCTTTGGCAGTTCTTGAAAGCAAGTTCCCCACCCCCCCCGATTACAGTCCCAGATGTCATTGCATACATTACCATTCGCTCCAAGTTTCTCCTAAAGTTTTAATTTCCACTGCAAATACCATTAAGCTTTCCTTCTTTTTCCTTTTTTTTCTGCACCTCTTTCTTGGTACTTCAGCTCCAAGCAGGCAGCCCTCCTCCATTCCCCATTTGATTGCTGCATTATTAGCCCCCTCAGCTTCTTCTACTGTATCAAAACAAGCAGCCAGTTGGAGAAACTCAACTTTCCAAACAGGTTCCTGGGTGTTTGACTATAGCTGGCAACTTTTCTAAGAACAAGTCACAAATGCAGATGAAGCCACCCATATACCGTAGGGGTAGGAAGGAAAAGAAAATGCAGAATGGCACAACAGGCATTGACTCCTGCTTCCTAACCATATTGGTACTCATTTTAACTACGAAGTTAATAGATACATCTGCTGAAAGCTCAGAAGGCAGGGCTTGTGTATGCATGTGTGCTCAATGGGACTTTCAATGGTTGGGAATGTCAGATTAAAATTTTCAGAGTGGCAAAAACTGCAAGATAATTTAAGAATAAGAATAAGCATATTTTCAAAAGGCATGTAGGCCTCTAGATTCTTCTTGCTCTCTCTTTGGTACACAATTCGGGTCACCCAGTTCCAGTACTATCAATTGCAATTTACTTTGGGCTGCTTCTTTTTCGTTTGGTTGTTTCAATGTGTGTTTAAAAGCGCTTGATGTTCTCACAGAGTAAACACCTGTTTGGAAACACATGGGAAGCTACTTCATATCAGGCTTAACTGTGATCTTCAGACTGTCAAGAGAGAGGTCTGCTCCATCATCTGCCCTCTGATCCATTCAATCTGATTAGGCCAAGGATTTTCTGCACAAAAAGCATAGGCTCTACCACAGACTGGTGGCATTTGGGAGGCCGCTGTTTGGTGCTGGAGGGTCCTGGACCAGATAGGGTGCTGAGACTAGATAGGCCTCTAGTCTGATCCATCTGGGCTCTCCTTACGCTCTTAGACTACTGGGACATTTGCGCTTTTCCATCAATGGCCTCCTGAGTTGGGATCCAGCAGTTCCTGGTTTGAGCAGCACAGCAGTTCCTCACACATGTCAGCTGCAATGTCATTGCAATGTATCTTAATCCACACACCGCTCTCCTCCCAGGTTGAACAGAGGATGTAGGATATAGCACCATAGTTTAGTGGTAGAGATCCGCTTTGCATGCACAAGGTCCCAGGTTCAGTCCTTGGCATCTCCAGGTAGGGCTGGGGGAATCGCCAGCCTGAAACCCTTCCCATTGGGGCATTTGGTTGGCCAGCTATGAATCATAGAATCATAGAATCATAGAGTTGGAAGAGACCACAAGGGCCATCAAGTCCAACCCCCTGCCAAGCAGGAAACACCATCAGAGCACTCCTGACATATGGTTGTCAAGCCTCTGCTTAAAGACCTCCAAAGAAGGAGACTCCACCACACTCCTTGGCAGAGTGTGTGAGAACAGGATGCTGCGCTAGATGAGCCATCTAGTCTCATGCCCTGATGTTCTCAAAGCATATACCTCTTTAAAGCATCAGGGGACGCGGGTGGCGCTGTGGGTAAAACCTCAGCGCCTAGGACTTGCCGATTGCATGGTCGGCGGTTCAAATCCCCGCGGCGGGGTGCGCTCGCTCCCGTCGTTCGGTCCCAGCGCCTGCCAACCTAGCAGTTTGAAAGCACCTCCAGGTGCAAGTAGATAAATAGGGACCGCTTACCAGCGGGAAGGTAAACGGCGTTCCGTGTGCTGCGCAGGCTCGCCAGATGCAGCTTGTCACGCTGGCCACGTGACCCGGAAGTGTCTGTGGACAGCGCTGGCTCCCGGCCTATAGAGTGAGATGAGCGCACAACCCTAGAGTCTGGCAAGACTGGCCTGTACGGGCAGGGGTTACCTTTAACTGCAAAAGGCGGCTCTAGTGGAGCAGGCATGCTTATTTCCATGAGTAACAATATAGCCCATAGCCCAGGAGCAAAAAGAAAAGTGGCTTTTTGACCAGCACTGAAAACCCACCAGAATCACCTTCTTTTGGATCTGGAACTATGCAAGCTCATCTCTCTCTCGAGACCATTTACAGAATCCCTTTCTCTGGCCCACGAGAAGTAGTGCTTACCGACCTGTCTGCTGTGTAAACGTCTCACCAAGGACGCCATCGTTAATGCCCTTGTCTCCCCATCAGTGTCCGGATAATGCTTCTTGAGACACTCTCCTGTCTCCATCCATTGTCCTACCAGACGCCAAGCTGTGTGTGCAGGAGGATTAAGGGCAGAGAGTGCTACCTGTGTATGTCTTTATCTCTGCGGCGGTGTCTCCAGACCACAGTTTCCCTCATAAATGAGCAACGGCAAGGCCCCAAATGCTTAACTTTGACTCTTTGGTGTTTACCCAATTCCCACCCTCCGACCCCCGAGTCTTTGGTTGAAGTGCCATGGGGGGCAGGCAAAATGGAAGAGGCCACAACTCCAAATAGTTCTAATTTTCAGCAGAGGGGTAGCTTGGAGGAGGGTGGGTTTTGTGTGTGTGTTTAGTATTAGCTTGGAAGAGGGAGTCTCGAGGATTTTGTTTTTGAGCAGCCCATCCAATTTGTACTTCCCACTACCTAACATGCAGATGAGAAAGCAGGCTAAGTCTTCAGTTTTCACATCTCTTCTAAATTTTCAGTATGGTTCTCGGCTCAAATAACATAACAGAAAGCCTATTTTTGGTTAAAATGTGTGCAGAAATGAGCGTTGTAGGGTGAAATGCACACAGAAATGTATATGTCAGAATGGCGTGTATGCAAAACACACACACACATTGCAGACTGAAGTGGAAATGGAATGGGACAGACTTAAAAATTAAGGCATGCAAAACCAACACCAAGAAGAAAATAGATTGATTTCAGCTGGAGTAGGGATGGGGAGATCTGTCCCTTTCAGTTTCTCACTGTTTCTCATTTTTCCAATCTTAAGATCAGTTCTCATTTCCATATTAGTTTGCAATAACAATAATAAACCTTCCTTGTCAGCATTTTAGTGCAAATTTCTCTCAGTATAGACATTTTTTATGCTATTTTGCCAAATATGCACATTTCTCCTATTATGCAGAGGTGTGTGTTATTTTCACTAGTATACGCATTCTTATGCACCCTTTTCCCCCCAGTGTATACATTTCTATACACATTACTTGGCTGGATTCCTTGTATTATTTGGAGAAGTGCAGATTTAGAAGAACAGACGTGTTCTGGTTCACGATTGTTTCAGAAAGTGCAAATTAGATAAACTCACCTTTAGATGCGAACTGAATTGCATTTCTTCCCCATCCCCAGCTTGGAGTGGTTGGGGCTTTCTTTGTGGCGAAAGAGCAATACTTTGTGCTTGGGAATATTTTAAGTTGAAGAAGCAAACTCACTTTCCTCCCAGTGAGTTTACTTTTGGTGGAAGAAAGAAAAGGACTTCTTTGCAGTGATTCTGGCAAAAGGCCCAAGATGCCTCCAACTCTTTGCTACATAATAAGCAAAATGAGCTGATTAAAAACTCATTACTCTGTTGAATAGTTTTCTTAACTGTGTAAAGCAACTGAGGGAGACAGATAGATAGATAAATAGATGGATTCTATGTCAATTGTTTGGGGGTGGGGGGGGTTGGATGAGCTGATCTTTTATTTTAAAAAAAATCACTTCCTCTTCTATTGTGTTTGAAGTATCTATGCACTGACCTGTCAGGGTTGGATTCATCCATATGGAAGTGTTTCTTCAAGTTTTTTAATCATTTAAAGGAGGGGGGAAATGCAGATCCGATTTGCAGATGTCTCTGGTTTTGTTCACAGACAGCAAGCCCGACTTGCTGCAGGTTTCTGCAGAAATGAGTCAGGGTAAAAATTAATGAGCATGCGTGGCGCAAAGGGCGCATTCCAAAGGTTGAGCTTTTAACTGCCCTGGGGGAAAGCTCCTCCACCCCAAGCCCAAGACCGGGCACTGAATTCAGCTTCCTGGGGATATGGACACACACACACACACACGTTTCTAGACCTTATGATTGCACATTTCTCCCCCCCCCCCCGCCAATCCCCAATTACAGCCAATAGGCTCAGTTGCATTGTGTGCTTGGGGTGGGATGCCCACAACAGTTCCTCCATTTTTCAGATGTGCCTACAGACCCAAAGAGGTTGGATGACGTCCCACCTGACGCTGTACTTCTCCTTAATCATGTCTTTAAGCCTCCATAGTCCGTCTGCCTTTAAAACCAAAAAAGGATCTTACTCTGCTTATTTTTATCTCCAGATCTGCTAACACAGCAAAACATCCCTGCTTGGGTTAGTTAAAACAGTGAATTAAAATGTGAATATCTACCCACACCCTATTACACACAGAGAGAGATATAATAGTATTTTAGCAGTTTCTCTATATAAACGTCCAGTGAGCCATACTGACCTCAGCCCTCTCCTATTCACTTACGATGACTCTACCCATTCCTCCTGCCTTCTGTACCAGGAATTTCATCACAGAGCCCTTCCCGCATAGATCCCCTGCTTCTTTAAGCGATTCGGTCCTTTCTCCCTCACTGCCAGGAATTTTGTCCCAGGTACCCATAAACCTCCTGCCCTCTTACGTGACTCTGCCCCTTCTCCCTTTCTGCCTGCCATTCCAGGAACTTGGACCCAGATGCCCATAGTTCCCCTGCCTCCCTTAAACAGCTTTTTCTTTTTCCCTCGCTGCCCTCAACGCGAGGAACCCCTCCCAAAAGAGTTGCTTTCCCTTTCCCTTTTGAGCAGAGCGGGGGATGCCTCTTCAAAAATGATGCTTGCTGCAACAATATGTCATCTTTAACAAAAACAAAAATAAAATACGCTTTTTCTCGTTTGCGGAGCTATTTTTCTAGAAAAAGAGGTGCTAGAACTCACCATGAATGTCTCCCTTGTTCTCTTATAATGGCAATGACTCTCTCCTGAGGAGTTCCAGTGAGTTCTGGCTGAAAAAAGCCTTTGCTCGTATGTACCTGTGCAGACCCTCCAATTGTCCTTATTCTCCAGAGTCAGTTCCAGATTTAAAGAAGCCATCCTGGTTTCTAATTTGATCCTGGAATGTCCCACTTTTCCTTAGGACGTCCCTATTTCATTGGATAAATGTTGGAGGGTATGGAGTTATGCGACCTCTGAGCCAAGGAGATACGTAACTGTACAACCTTTAGAAGACATTTCAAGGCAGCCCTGTATAGGGAAGCTGTTAAATGTTTGCTGTTTTATATGTTTTTATATACAGTGGTACCTCGGATTACAGACACTTCAGGTTACAGACTCCGCTAACCCAGAAATAGTACCTTGGGTTAAGAACTTTACCTCAGGATGAGTACAGAAATCATGCTGTGGCGGCACGGCGGCAGTGGGAGGCCCCATTAGCTAAAGTGGTACCTCAGGTTAAGAACAGTTTCAGGTTAAGAACGGACCTCCAGAACGAATTAAATTCTTAACCCGAGGTACCACTGTATGTTGGAAGCTGCCCAGAGTGGCTGGGCCACTCTGGGGTATAAATAATAAAATTGTTGTAGTTGTTGAATGGGGTATCCCTATTTTCATTGGAGAAAAGTTGGAGGGCATGTCTGTGTGTAGATTTTAATCAACTCAGCAATTGATTTCTTTCATAGTCATAGCATATAATTGTGAGATCAAGTTTGGGCTGACGTTAGCAGGTGTTGTTCCCAAGGACCACCTCTTGCTGACACAGCTGCCCCAGGCCCCCTCCAGGCGCCAGGAGGCCAGCACTGCAATTGCCCAGAATGCATTGTGGACAAGTACAGTGGAGGCTGCCTGGCTGGCACCCCTCAAGAGAGCACCGCCACTGCCATCACTGTGCGTCTCCTCTTGAAGAGCCATAGCTCAGTAGCAGAACATATGCTTTGCATGCAGAAGCTCCTGGTTCAATCCCTGGCATCTTGATGCAAGACTATGGGGGGGAACTCTCTACCTGAGAGCTGCTGCTAGTCAGTATAGACAATACTCATCCACACTTATGCCTAGAAAGCATAGGACTAAGCAGTTTTGCCTTTGCCCCATCACTTCCCCCCCGAAAAACCTGCTCTTTAGTGCTGAATCAGAGCAAACGTCAATGCAGTTGATGTTTGCTCCAATTCAGCGGTAACCCGTGAGTTTTCCAGGGGGAAGTGTGGGTGAGCCCTGACACAGATAGACCAGTGGTCTGACTTGGCATAAGGCAGCTTCCCATTCATCCAAAGAATACTTGTGCAAGAAAGTTTAAAGAAACACATGCTCCATAGTCATCTTCTTAATGCCTATGAGAAGCTCCCTTTCCAGCTCCTCCTTTGCTGCCGATCTCCCAATTTCCCCAGCGCACGCGAGAACCAGGCTCACAGAAGGGTAAACTCTCCTGCCCTTTTGAGTCCGGTCTCTCCCGCAGATGAGAATGGGATGAGTTAAGTGACTGAAAGCCCGAGGCCAGGACGTGCCGCCTGTAATCATTTTTTCACTCCATCATCTCACCTTGCGATGCCACGCTGCCTTATACAGCCACCAGATGGCTGATGAATAATATAAGTGACAAGGGCAAAACCTCTCAAATGCATTCAGAGGAGAAACTTCGAGATGCTGAGGAGCTGGCTGGTCCTCTGGCTCAAGACCAGCTGGGGTTTGTTTATGCCCTTTGACTGAATCCAGCAAGCGGGCTGCACCATTGCCTCAATTAGGCCAAAGTCTATAGGAAAAGAAGGCTCTCCGTGAACTAACAGGGATATCCTGGCCTTGTTTCGTTCCGTCTGTGTCGCCTCCAGTGCCTGCATCATCCGTGGCATCCTGAACTCCCTTGTCTTGTTTTAGAACACATTTTCTCCCTGCTTCCTTTTGGCCTGCAAAGCTCTGTGCAAGTGTTGAAGTAGGTCTGGCTTGAGAGAGGGAGAGTGTCTCTCCCCAAAAGCTATCTGAATGCAGCCGCACTAAACAAAACTGCTTTTTGCAGGGTATGTAGTTAATCTGTGGAATTCATTGCCACAGGATGCGAGCATAAGCAGTTGCTGTTGTTTTCAGATGTTTTAGACGCAGGAGCAGTTTTCAAAGTTCCTTGAGGGTTTTTCAGGTCAGTGTATCTGCCAAGGTATTCTCTGTGTTTGGCCTGACCATTTTAGGATTAGTGTTGTTGCCAAAATCAATAATTAACAAGATCCAAATGTGTCTGGCTAACAATGTCAGATTACATTTCAGACTATGCCCTTCCCTCTCTGGTGCCTTGAAAGCTTTAACATTCTGGTGACCTGAGTCCTTGGTATGGACATCAGTGACATCAGATTCCCTGGAAAATTCATCCCCCAGGGACTCCCTCAACCTGTAAGGAAAGATATGGGGTACAGCCCAGCCCATGTGCTCTCATTGTGGGTTGAACGCATGCAATGTCTCTCCCCCCAATAGCTGTGCATTTCAGGGGGAATATGGGTTGTGTTGGCAAACTGTCCTTCCATGCTTCTTCCACCATTAAAACCCTTTCGATGGATGAATCTCCAGCATTTTCTGGGTGCAGATTAAAAACCACTGAAATAGATTAATGGGGACTATCACAGTCCCCTATCCACGGTCAGGGGTAGTAAATGCTTCTGAATACCAGTTGCTAGGAACCACAGAGGGGTCCTGCTTGCTGGTTTCCCACAGGCATCTGGGTGGCCGCTGTGAGAGAAGATCTTGTATTGAAATCAACCCACTGGTCATGCTCCAATGCTGACCTGGGATCTTGTCTCCAATTCTAACAGTGCAGCGGGTTCCTCATTTTCCTTCCACTCTTGTCTGAGATTTCTGATTTCTTTGCCTTATTCTTAGGCAGCTGCATGGCAAAGACAGCAGAATTATGATGGTTACATCTCTCTCAAAGCTAGCCTAAGCCTACTGTCAAACTGGAGCCTGCTCTATAGCCTGGGACAATTTTGACACAGGAATGTCATCATTTCCCCACCTGTATCTATCCCTGCTCCCTGACTGTGTGCAAAATCTGCCCATGTTAGCCATCCATTGGTCAGCTGGCTCAGTCACATGATTCTCCTGAAGGTCATATTACCTCCTGTTGACCAGCTCCCAGTATGACTGCATCGTAGCACCTCATATTTACCCGTGTTATCTTCTTTCCGCAAGTGAAACTCCTTTTTTGCAGTTCAGGCGTGTGTGTTTTTTCTGGGAACCCCCGATGTTTCGTGAACTCAACAGAAGCGCAACTGAAATGTTAAACTCCTTGGCTGAAGGCTCCCCCACTTACTCTCAAGAATTATGTAAACCCATCCGTGGGTCTCCGAGTGTAATCAAAAACAGTACTTGCTCCAAACAAACACAAGCCCCACATCAAGGATGAAATGCCGGATTGCCTCCCCACCCCACCCCCTGCTTCTCTTTTACTTGTGGGTAAATCGGATTCCTTTCTAAAAGCATAATGCATCCTTTTGTATACAATCATCTGTGCGCATGCAACACACCACAGGGGTTGATAATGTCCCCGATAAACCCGGCTGTTTTCTTAAGCGAAGCGAAGCTGTGTGTTTTTTCAATTGCTTCTGACAAAAATCAGCATTTCCTGATTCTTAGTGGTGTGATGTTGGTAAGATACAACTTATGCGTCCCAGACTTTTCGGTGAGGTCAGAAATTACTTGTTATAAAAACCAGGGCTCAAATGCTCAGGCTTCAGTTCAGATCACAGTTATTCAGTTACACACACAGATTGGTTGTGCTTGTGACATCTGTATCCCACCCTGCTTCTGGGTTGCTGGCGGGGAGCGGTGTTTTTAGCATCGCGACAACCCTGTGAGGTAGAGTAGGTTGAGAAACAGTGGCTTTCCCCAAGGCTGCTAAGGATTCATCTACTTTGTTAGGGGTGTGGAACCTTCAGCTGCATGCATTTGTGAAAGTGGACCCCAGAAAGAGGAAAAGAGGGCAAGAGTGGGGAGCTGAAATGGATGGAGAGAAGGGAAGACGAGGGAGGGAAGCACTCAGTTCAGAGCTCTGGCAGCCTGCTAGGTAGGGAAGAAGAGACAGGGGAAAGGGTTCGAGGAAAAAGAGAGAGGGAGGGAGAAAGGGGTGCAGAAAGAGGGAGAAGAGGAAGGGGAGAGAAGGGTGCAGAAAGAGTAGGGGAAGCAGAGAGAGAGAGAAGTTTGATTCAGTTCACAAACCTAATTAGCACTTTCCAAAACAATCCATGAACCAAAACTCTGCCATCCTTTGAAATTCACCTGTCTCCAGATTCTGCAGTGCAGTTATCCAGCCAAGTAACTGTGCAAAAATGCACATTTGGTTGTAGAGTGTGCATTAAAAAAATGTGTATCTTAGTAAAAACAACATACCAAAAAAATGTTATATTAGAAAAAATTGCTTTGCAAAAATACTTTGTTTTATTTCATAAAATTTATATATCACTTGATTGCAAAAACAAAAACAAAAAAACCTCCAGGCAGTTTTTAGTAGAGGAAAGTGCCTACAAAAATGTGTATATATGGAAAATTCACACTCAAACACTGGTGAGTTTTCATGAGGATCTTTTTTACAGGGATGAGGGGGATTGCCAACTTATATGGAAATGTGGGGAACTGAATATAAGATTGGACCACTGAGAAACTGAGAGAAGCCAGAATTGACTGATTCACCTGTCCCTACCGGCTGCTGCTGATCTTTCTACGAAATCTGCCACAGGAGAATTCCCAGTGTGTTTCAGGAGAGATGGGCAAGACAGATGTGCATTCATGGGTAGACTTCCTCATGGTTTGCAATAAACCAGCAAGCATATCTGCCTCCCCAAAGTTTGACAATAGAAAGCAACATTGCTAGCAAACGAAATTCTCTCTGTAGCCAGTGTGGTGGCAGTTACTGATCTCTCAGATTCCTTGTTAAAAATATTAGTAGTGAATTTAAAAAAAAACCTGTAAAAAAAAAAAGGAATGGTAGGAAGCTGCCTGGTCTATAGTCACTCTTATGTCGATTTTCATCCCACTGTGTGGCTCAAAGAGTGCGGCAGGTAATTGGCTCCACCCACCCTCAAGCCACCATTTTGCAAATGGATCTGATTGCTGGGCATTGGGGTTTTAATAAAATAAAAGGAATGTAGCACCTCAACCCTCACTCTTGAGATCATACTCCCATAGCCTCCAACATTTCTCTGATAAAAATAGGGACATCCTATTCCATAATAATTATAATAATTTTATTATTTATACCGTGTCCATGTGACTGGGTTGCCCCAGCTACTCTTGGCAGCTTCCAACATATCTAAAAACATAAACATTTAAAAAACTTCCCAATACAGGGCTGCCTTCAGATGTCTTCTAAAGATTGTATAGTTACTTATCTCCTTGGCTCAAGGGTCACATAACTCTATACCCTCCAACACTTCTCTGATGGAAATAGGGACATCCTAAGGAAAAGTGGGACATTCCAGGATCAAGTCAGAAACAGGGATGGCTTCTGTAAATCTGGGACTGTCCCTGGAAAATAGACACACTTGAAGGCTCGGTTCTCTTTCTCCCAGATGATGACTCTAAAACTTCAGACCCAACTCATAGCTGGCCAGGCCTCTCTGGTGCTGGGATCTGAAAAGGTAGTAGATCAGAATCTGCTGGGCTCATCTCTGACTCCACATGTCATGGCTTCATTCTGCTGTGGCTCCACCCTCGGCTTCTGGGTTCTTCTCCAACTTTCCAGAGATGACCACCTTGGCCATATTAGAAATCTGCAGCAGGCAATCCTACCGACAGCTGGGAGCAGCCGCTGAAACAAAGGCAGCTTTTCAACCAATGGCGCATTCTTTTGTTTTATATATATATATATATATATATATATATATATATATATATATCTTCTATTACCTTTGCCCAGACTAGAACAGCCTTTTTTGTCTGGGCCTCCTTGGCTGAGGCTTTCAGTGAGGTGGGCTGGGCCTCGTGCTGAGGAAGTGCAGATCCTCCAGAAAGGAGAATAAAAGGTCAAGAATAATCCAAAAGGACAAGCTGTGCAGATCTGTGTGTATATTGGGTTTCACATATGAAACCCAGTCGTGATAAAGCTGATGGCTTTGGAAACATCTACTTTGATTAATGAAAACATCGTCCGCGTCGACTGCGGGTTTCATACTTCAAAAGATCGGCCGGGATTAAGGAAACGTCGGAGGGGTGGGGGAGGAGGCGGGAGAGTTGCTTATTCATATCACATCTCAGGAAACTATTTTGTAAAAAAAAAAAAAAAGTACAAAAAAGGGAGGATTTCCAGAACAGAGGAAAGAAAAATGACAAGTATTTTCCCGTTTGAAAGCTACAAATAAATTAGGCAATCAAGAGAGCCATTAACACAGAGCAGGCGGTGGTTGTAAAGGGGGAAGTTTGCAGATGTCTGAGCAAGAGTGTGGGTTGGGTCCCCCCCCTTTTGTATCTAATACTTTCTTCATTCATTCTAGAGCCCCCACTCCTGTAAAGGAGTTGGAATTGTTGGATGAGTTTCAATGTATCCAGTGCTTTTTTCCTGGGGGTACGCAGGGGTACGCATACCCTTAAACATTTTGTCCATTTACTATATTTATTTCCTCCGAAAATGAGAGTTCTCCTAAACATAACTGAATGTATCTATTAAATTGACACCCCCCCCAATGCATCTGAACAAAACCATTCATTTTGAAATTCATGTGCCCTTCTTTATAGAGGATGGTCCAAGATGAAATACAAAGCAGTCTTTCTCTCTCTCTCTCTCTCTCTCTCTCTCTCTCTCTCTGTGTGTGTGTGTGTGTTTGTGTGTCTGTGTGTCTGTGTGTGTGTGTTAAAGTTACCCATCTGCAGTGAGCACCTGGGTTGAGCAGGCACACACAGGCCACCGACTTACAGCTTTCTGCATAATCCTGAGAGGAGTTGCCTTTCTCTTTTGATCATAGTCATTATTTCTTAATTTGCATCTATACATACAAATTAACATGTGAAGCTTCCTTGCGAGTCTTTGTCCTCTTTTGCCCCTTTCTTTGGTGATGCCCAAGTGGCCACAAAGGAAGAGACCAGCAGATGGATCAGACCAGTGGCCCATTGAATCCAACATCCCCATGTCAACCGTGTCCAACCCAACATCCATGCGAGCAGGATCTGAGTGCAAGAGCAAATCTCCCCACCTGCGACCCCCAAAAACTGGCATTCAGTGGCTGGTACTACCCCCTTCCCGAAATCACGGAGAGCCACTTGTCAGTCAGTGTTAGACAGTTCTTAGCTAGATGGAGCAGTCGTCTGACTCAGTACAAGGCAACTTCCTCTGCCTTTGTGTTCCTCGTGGTCTGAGCTGGTGTAAGGCATCTTGCTATATTCCCTACTCATCCACAGTCTTAGCCAACGACTATGGACATCTCAAAGATGACGGCCTGCCCTTCCCTCTGCTTGCTCTGTCACCGTGTTACACAGCAATTAGCGCTCTGTTGGCATACAGGACCGGTGAGCATCTTGCTATTTATAGCTCGGCTCCAAGCAATCCCGCAAAGTGAGCACCCTAGCCAGGGAATGAAAAAAGCTGACAGTTATATAGACTTAACTCCTGCGGTAGATATTTCTGCCACTGTTTTCCAAAGCTTATCTTTTGCACTTTAAGCCTTGATTTATTAAAAACATACAAAGGGGTGAATTGTTCCTGAGGGTTGTCACATATTGTAGATAAATTAGAAAGGAACTATGTAGGCCCTCGCGAGTTTGTTAGTCTTTAAAAGGTGCTGCAAGACCCTTTGTTATTTTTCGCCGAAGCAGACTGACACGGCTGGCCTTCTGGAACGATATGAGCCATGCGATGGAGAGAAGGAAGCTGGCTCAGTGCAGGGCAAACTGCTCCATTGGCCCTGGGCCTTGTTCTCAGGGAGAAGGCTGCCATGCCATCAGTATGCTCACATCTCTGCTCTAGGTCTGGAGAGGTGATGGAAAGGAAGCCGGTGATGCTTTCTGGTGACAGCTACATGCTTCTTTCCTCTCTATATTTTCTCTCCTCACAATAAGCTAGGATCCCCGTTTCCATTTTTTGAAACAACAACAACCCAAGTTTCTAGTCCTTGGGGTCCTTGAGAAATAAGGCTTTAAGAGACGGTCCCAGGCCCGTGGACCAACTGTGGCTCTTCAGTCCTCTCTCCAACCCTTTGAACTCTCCCCAGGTCACATTCCCTCCCCCAAGCTTACCCCCTGCCTTATACCTTCCTCAAGTGTTTATGGGTGGCTAGAAGGTGTCCTTAAACTCTGAACATGCTTCAGAGAAGGGTGTGTGAGAGTATGGGTGTAGAAACTAGCCTACTACGCAAAGTGTACAATTTGTGCTAACTGCTCCGCCCACTTTTGCCTCTGGCCCCGCCCACCACTGGCATGTGGCTCCCAGAATGCTGCTGAGATGGGAATGTGGCCCCCGATTGGCAAACAATTTCGAACACGTGTTTTTAATGCATGTGGGCGATGCCTGGTGAAGTTTCAGAAGCCTTCTTTCCTCAGAGTAAATGCAGGCCTGAAGATCTCAGCTTCCATTTTAAAAAAGGAAAGGGAACTCTGTGTTTCTAGGCCTTGTGGCTGACAAAGAAGGCTTCACTCTTGTGTGGATGATGCCCAAAGACTCAAAAGCTATGAGAAGATTGGGAGAGGGGGTCAATGAGTAGGATTTCCCATGACCCAGAAGCCCCAGTCTAGTGCCCATTGCATAGCACTTTATTCCCCCTCTCCACCCCGGCTGACGAATGAAACCAGAATAAAGTATGCAGAACAGCAAGAGTAGCAGACTAAGCTATGCAAGATGAAGCCAGTGGTGTAGGCATTGCAGCACTTGGGTTACTGTTGATGCCGAATTTAGAGGTGACAGTCTGTGCACAGCCCTAATGGGAGGATGCTCAGAGTTCTGCCGTCTGCTTCACACGGCATGTGTCGCTCCTTGCTGGGCTTGGTAACTCGGCGTCAGGAATGATGAAAGATTAAACCAGGTAGGGATTAATGGCTGCCTGGAGACCGGGTGAAGCTGATCACCTTAATCCATAACGCAATTCCAACGCCAGGGAGTGCCAAGGCAAAAGGTTGTCGGAGTCCAGTGAAACCAGTAAGCAAGGGGGAGGTGGGGGGGTTACATATGCAGTTATGTCCTGTCTAAATAGTTTGCTACTGTCTCCTCGCATGAGGGGGCCTTCAGCCCTCAGTGGTGTCTGATGCCCGCTGGTAGGTGGAGCCAATGAAAGGTGAAGCCAAGAGATTCTGGTTTTGTCACCATCCTCCTCCCTGCTGAGTTCTATGAGGACAACACTGAGACGGAGGAGAAGAGGAAGCTGAGAGGCTGCGACACTCCTTGGGCTGGATGTAAGTAGATAGGCAGGCAGGCAGGAGCTGGATGCGGCCAGACGGAGATTGGTGGGGCAGTGCCCCATTTGCCCTAACAGAGCAGCCTCCACTGATGG